ATAGACTCACCACACACACATTTTTGTCATAACAGTTGCTGTAATCTTTATATACTGTATGTCACAATTTGTCCTATGAAGGCCAGGTAAAGTACATCACGTAGAGAACTTGGGTGCATTAGTTCACACTATACAAAGTGTAGTGGAAGTTTTTTTCTTTAGTGGAAAAAATTCCTCTTGTGCTACTTGGATCTGTAAGAGACAAAAGATATTTTGAGTATAAGTAAGAATAGCAACATTATACCATCTTATTTTGCTACTTATCTCAATCTTGGCAGCCCAGACACTGGGCTCAAGTGATGGCGGCAAACCTGTTATTGATCTGCCACTTTGGTTGGAAGGTCAAACTTAAGAGGAAAAAGACTGAGACTGATCTTAGTTGTATAAGATACAGTAAATGAGAAAATGAAAATTCACAGATATGTACAAATGGAGTATGTTAGAAATAAGCCATTGTCACAGCTTGTGTTGTGTAGCACCCTTTATGTAAAGAATCCATCTAAAAATGCTTTACAATATAGAGAAGCAAAGTAACATCAGTAGTTTTAGGATAATATTTTAGTTAAGACACCGAAAAGCTGCCAAAACTGTTTAAAAAGCCTTCAACAAAATCCCTGATATATTTGGAGATGACATTCCTTAGTTTGGGAGTGTAGTTGAAAATAAAATGTCATCTTTTTGGTTCTGAACATGTACCAAACCCACAGTGGAAGATCTGACTGAACGTGAAAGCACATAAAGCAACAGGATGTCTGTATTCTTAGCCAATCCTGAGTCATTTTAGAGCGTCATATACTCATATGCAGTCAGATCTTAATGACTCAAAGAGCCAGTATACAGTTGTCGCTCACTTTTTAGTTTGGTCAGGAGTGTAGACAGCAATTTTTGAGTGCATTGTGGCTTTCCAATAGACTTCTTTAGAGAAATGGTGCTTCACACTAGTTGTGAGAGGAACGCACAAATGAACTATTTAGCATCCTGCTGGCTTAGTAATGGCCGCCTCATGGCCACTTTTGTTAGATGAAGATGAAGATGATGCTTAAATCACATAGGCTTGTGTGTGTTTTTGTCTGAACACACGTGTGATGTGTGATCTTGCGTGTGAAATCTCTATTGTTTTCCTGCTGTGTGTGTTAGTCATATCACGTAAACTGGGGCAGGTTTGAGATTGCGCAGACACCGTGCCTGATCCTGTACTGTAATTTGGTCTGCTATTTTATTGAGCAGTTGTGCAATCAAGGGCCTCCACTTCCCCCTCCCCCTCCAGGAGCATAAACCATATGAACTAGAGTGACCCCTCACTTTCTTCCACCTCCTCTCTCACCTCTCCCCTCTCTCCCCTACTCACTTGTCCACTCCTAAATCCAGCTGTCATGTGAATGCCCCATGTCACTCACTGCCCCATACCCCCCCCCCCCACCACACACACACACACACACATACACTGAAGCCTCACTTCCCCATGTTTCCTCCTGCTTCCTTTCTTCTGCCCTACTTAATTATCCTTTCGTGAACATTGCAATAAGAAATTTTGTTGGCATCTTTTTACTATACCATAGAATATTTGTGGAGTGATGCAAAATGGTCACTGAAAAATAGTCATATGGGATATCAAATAGCAGCTCTCGCCCAGTCTTTTCAACCCTTGTCCTGTTGCACTATGACCCCTTCTTCGTCCTCTTCTCCCCGCCCTGCTCGTATCCTCCTCAACTCTCCTCCAGTGATCTCAGCTCTAGTGAACCCTCACTCAGTTTTGTTCCCTTCCAACTCAGCCTCTCCTTTCTTGTCTCTCTTTAATCCCTGAGGACCTCTGCCATAAACCTAGAGATTGATTCTCAGAACCATAGGTGGGTGATCATTCCTGAGGTGTTGTGAAAACCTCCTCCCAGCTTTCTCTTTGTGCTTTTTTGTGACCCTGTTAGGCCTCATCTATTTAGATAGAAAGAAATATGACTTGTAACACAGTAGGGTGGAAGAACTGGAGTCTTGAATATGCTACGCACTCATCAAAAGTAGAGAAGAATAAAGAGAAGAATGTGAAGAAGGGGAAGAGAGGAGAAAAAAAAGGATGGTAGAGAGGGTCAAAAAAGAAGAAAAGGAAAGGTTACTGGAAGTCAAAGAAACTGCGTCAAAGCTTTTTGCATTTCCCTTTCTGCTTGCTGTTTCTGTTTCTGTTGCTTCAGCCACAAAACACATGCATGTCTGACATAGTGATGTAAACTAGTGACCACAGAAAGCAAGCTTGATGAGTGTTCCTGTCCAAACTCAAACCATTACCCCAAATAAGGAGAAGTACTTAAGCTTTACGGCCTATGTTCCCTCTTTTAAATAAAGCGTGAGATAGTGTCCCTCAGAAACAGTGCTGACTCTTATGAGGTTTTTGCTTCCTGTGATGCATGTCATGGCTTCTGCCTTGAGATAAAATCCCTTTTTATAAACCTAGTTTCAGACAATAATATTACATTGTTCTGACTCACTTAATAAAATAACCTCATGCAAATGCAACTCACCATGACTCAGCTTATAATGTAAATATTTAATCTGCTTTCAGGTCAAGAGTGAAGGCCCTAAACTGGTGCCATTCTTCAAGGCAACATGTGTATACTTTGTCCTGTGGCTGCCCACCTCCAGCCCATCCTGGTTCAGCGCCCTGATCAAATGTCTGCCCATCTTCTGCCTGTGGGTTTTTTTACTGGCACACGGATTCAGCTTCCTAGGTGCTCACTCCAATGCCCGCAAGATCTTGGCTGGACTCATCTTCTCTGCTCTCGGTGATGCCTTTCTCATCTGGCAGGAGCAGGGCTACTTTGTCCACGGTGCGGAGAAACTTTATACACTGAGTCACTTAGTAGTAATTGTTTTTCTCTACAGGACTACCTTCATACCTAATTTTAAGGGCTAATCCTGGTTTATTTCAACTTGGGACTTATTTTTGCAGTATTGGCCATCATTGGTATTGGTAACAGAAGTTCAACAGGACAGTGCCGTAATACAGGTTTTAAACAAACCTCCATGTTTGGGAAAAGAAAGTGAAGGCAAACAGTAGACTTGTCACCCATACTGTCCGTTTTGAATATCCATCATGATTTATATAATTCCTGCTTTAACTTTGTATTCCCATATTTCCTGCAGTAAACACAAGTTTTCCAGCGAAATGAGTTTTTAGGAATCCAAATTATCTAAAAACCTTGTACCCAACTCAATGAAACCATTGGCTTGTTTACAAATTGTTTGATCATGCGACTGCTAATGTTTTTTTCCCCGTTGGACATGTTGCAACATGTTGTTGTAATATCACTGTGTTCCGAGGTCTCAGACAATTTAACCAATAAAAAAAACTGGCCAATTAAAAGAGCCCAGTTGTAATAAACCGAAATGATCCTTATGAATTAGATGAGCTACTTATCATTACATCAGGGGTAATGCTTCAAGCTTTAGTTCATGATTTTTGCACAAGCTAGGATACCACTTTGTATGACTGTATTTAGATTTAAAACATTTATATATACATATGTAATGTGTTACAGGCCTTCTGATGTTTGCCATCACCCACATCCTCTACTCATCTGCCTTTGGGATGAAACCCCTAAACATGCGTGCTGGCCTTGTGATCACTGCTGTGTCCTGTCTGAGCTACGTCCTGCTGTACCCCTACCTGTCTGGCCCCTTTACCTACCTGGTGGCCGTCTACATCGCTCTGATTGGCTTCATGGGCTGGAGGGCCATCGCAGGCCTGCAGCTGGCCAATGACCTGTGGACCTGGACCAAGCTGTCCGCCTGCCTGGGCGCTGTACTCTTCATGGTCTCCGACCTCACCATCGCCGTCAACAAGTTCTGCTTCCCTGTGCCCCATTCGCGCGCCATCATCATGGCCACCTACTATGCTGCCCAGATGTTGATAGCGCTATCGGCTGTTGAGTGCCAGGACGTGGAGGTGGCCAGGAAGAGAACATGAGGTACCGCGGCCCCCACAGCGACTGGCCACGAGGCTGGAAAGGTGGCAGCCAATCCCCCTCCAGCCCTGAGTGATTATGGACACATCTCACTGCCAGATCCCCAGCCCTCAGCCCTCATCTCAGTGTGGCGCTCCCACACTGTTGTTACCATGGCGACTGGTCCACTACAGCCATTACATGGCTATCACCCACTAGTATGGTAGTCTCACACCTGTCTTCTTGCCACGAAGATACGGTAGTATTATCTTCAGCCTCTCCCGACAACAGTCCTACCTGCTTCCTCTGATCCTAGAATGGCTGTCTCTCAACCTAGTTACCATGGAGACAAGAGTAGTAATATTAACCTGCTATATATATAGAATATTACTTTACTTTTAACTGTTACGTTTTGATTTAAGGGGAGCATGTCACTGGGGACCTTCAAGGAGTGTGTGTGTGTGTGAGAGCGATTTTATGTGTGTAAGTGTGTGTGTGTGTGTGTGTGTGTGTGTGTGTGTGCATGCGTGCATGCGTGTGTGTACGCATTTACGTGTGTTTGATTAACATTCTTACCTCGCTTTCCACACAGTCCCATCACACACAGTCACCACACTGACAACACACAACACACACATCTATTTTATATGGTCCAATAACACATTTTAACATCTTATTTTTGTCGTTTGTTTTGTTGCCTGAGACCTTGTTAAAAAGGGAGGTTTTTTTTCTCTTACTGACTTGCCCATGTTTGGTCTCTGTTGTTGTGTGTTTCCCTAAATTAAGGGTGCTATTCCTACAGTTTGGAGCATATCCACACCTGTTTTGTTATCTGCAGTCCCTTTCATTTCATTAACAACAACCACACTGCCTTTGTTCACGCCGCTATTTAACATTTGTAGCAAATCAACAACCAGTCTCTCTGGATGATTAATTTTGCTATTAGGATGTCCTTAAATTACTAGATGTGCAGGAGAAGAATGACAGAGACAAAAATAAGGCAATGAGGTGGAAAGGCAAGGGGGTGGGGTGGGTTCGCGGGGGTTGGGGTGCGTGAAAGCAGCAGCAATTGCGTATTGTAGCTTCAATGGGAGTTGGAGGAGGTGGAGGTTGTTTGTGGAAGCTCAATTCTTCCTGCTGAGATTTTATTGACACTGTCCCGCTGTCACAAAGAGAACACAGCAAACACTGCAGCCATAGCTAACCACTGAACACATTATAACATGCTGTATAGTGCAGCTGCTTCTCCTTTCAGTGTGAACTACCGGCAGTGTTTTGCCTGCCTGCAGTTTTTTAAGAAATGCTGGTGCAAATGTCAACATGTTCACACACACCTGACACCTACAGCTCCCGCTGGTTTCGTTATTAGGAAAAGTTCATGGGGTTCTCGCTGCTGGACTACATCAGCCGACCCATGTTGTCATTGGCCTGGAACCATGTTATGGAGACTGAAACGAAAGGGCTATGTAACTGGTTGGAATCTTTTTGTTTATCAACTCAGTGTGCATGTGCGTGTGTGTGGGTGTCTTATCCTCAGAGGGCATTCACTCACTCATACTGACGCACACACAAACACACCAACATGCAGCCTGACTGAAAGAAAAAAGGGACATGAGGGGAACTGGCTTCTCATGTGAGGGAATAGTTATCCCATTATTCCCAATAATTCCTTCTAACAGGACACTTCATCAGCTTTAATCCTGCAAAATCCACCTCAGGTAATCCCAGACGGGCTGTCTGATATTTTGTCTTTCATCTATCACACATTCACACCCGTCTCACCTTTCATTTGTTTTGGTCTCTTCAGACATTTCAAGTTAGAATGAAGTGTCTTACTGAATATTTAAGAGGTATTCTATAACTCTTTCATGTTGTATATGCATGTTTTCAGTGTGCCTGTGAGAGAGCGTGTGTATCTCCTTTGTCTTAGATGTTGAGTGAACGTCTGTGTATATTTATGACCAGTCAAAACCAACTCAAGGCCAGGAATGCTGTGAACCATCATAGTTTATATGGAGTAGATACACTATTGGATATCTTTAATGTATTCTCACAAGGCTCTTAAACCTGTCCTCATACCCCTCACCTCTTCATGTGTTTTATAACGTCCCCTGAATACTCGCGTGTTAAAGTCATCAAAGGATGACTTTAAAGGATGACTAAGTTTTGATCGGGTAGCTTCAAATTGTGGGATGTCCACAGCTGAACATGCCTCCTCTTGACTGTATTACATGTTGTATGTGTCACTTTCGGATTAATACCACTAATTAAAACCATCAGTTTATATATATTGGAAAGAAAATCAATTTAATAGGAACTGAAAGTATTACCCACTAACAATAAACAACAAAGGGACGGGTTCTGTTGTTTAATAGTTCAGTCCACACACACCTATACATGTCCCATATACCGTGCTGTATATAAAACATACAGGCATGAAGAAGAAACAGACCCATGTTATGGGTTCCTTCTGCTGGATCGATGACCCCTGGAGCTGTCGGAAGCGCACCCACATACGCACAAAAAAAACACACACAAATCAAAATGTATTTATGCATCACATCAGCCACCTTGACAGATCTGCAGGCAGACAATGGTGTTGACACTCATCAAGGTTTTTTTTTTTTTTCAAACAGCAACACAGTCTTAGCTTAGCTTGACCAGGAAAGACTCTCAGACCAAGCGGTTGCTGCTTTGCCAGATAGTTCCTCAATCTCCTTTCAGCCTGTCAGCATGCGTGTCAGGTCAATCTTTCTGCTTTGTCAGTCAGAAGTGGTTCATCAATCCGTCTGTGTGACAACTCATTTTCTGTCCCATGTTTTAATTCGTCTTCCCAGCATTGCAAGGCAAAGTCCTGCTCGTCAGTGTTCACCGTCTTCTCATCTCCTCCACCTCACCGGCAGAAACATGTTAACAGTTAATATAAGCCTTTGTTCAGATAGACATCCACTGAGAATCGCTAGCAGACACACATTTGTCTGTTTGCTCTGTCTTAAATCAGGGTTTAGTACAAGGAGTTCAAGGAGAGACGCTGGTTAACATGAGCCTAAAGTAAAACCGCGAGGGGATGACGAGATTGAGTCAAGCAGTCTTACTCATCCTAACTATGTGGGCAATTTATGTAAGCACTACTGTCTTTGTCCTCTGCCACATAAAGCCGCCTGATTTTTGTTCCTGTGGTCCAGTGGCTACACGCCAAAAGACAGGCTTTACTTTGAAGTATTTCGGAGATTATTTTTGCTGGCCAGCCCACACTTTGGGAAATGTCCATGACTTTGTAAAGTGAAGTTGCTTTTCTGAGAACGAGAGATCAGTGTTCCCCCGTAAAGCAGTTATTAAGCCTGTGTGGTGGATTTTGTTTTAAATATTCACAGTTTCTCCTCTATTGTTTCTATTCTTACTTGACTTAGGCACCGATAACCTGAGATCAAAGTATAACAGAAAACTGAACTAATTTCACTGAGTGGAACTTGTTAGCATTCGAGTCGTCTCATGTATCAAACAACCTTTTGTTTTGCAGGGGACAGGTGCAGGAGGGTTTTTGGCCTTCCACTTAGGAAGGACGTTATTGTTGAGCGATACTGTAGCTGGAATTAGGTGAGGAGGTGAAATGTGACACACGAGGGAAGCCTCCCCTTCCGTTTGCTGCCATCCCGTCCCCCTACAGATGGCGGGCCAGCAGGCGCATCACTTTACCTCCGCCTGTCAACAGCCCTGTTGTTCTGAGCTTTGTGCATGCAGACAAAGGGGACCTGAGAGAGCTGTGGGAGGCCGACATGGTTTGAGTAATGAGCTGGAAGGCAGTAGCTGTTGAAGTAGAGAGAGGGCCCGTGGTTCGGTCCCTCGGAGTAAGTTGGCACTTTTCTTTGAGTTGAAGTTTTCTCTCTCTTTCTTTTTTTGCTGTAGTTCCTTGTGATCTTTGATTTGAAACCTTTGCTGTTAATGTGCTGTACCCATTATCATACAGCTGGTGACCTCCAAAACATAGAGCTGTAAAGTCTGTATATCTTTACTCATGCATGATAAGTAGGCTGAAATGAATCCTCCACAACGACACTTATCTACAGTGATGGAAAAGTGCACACTACACACCCAGGTGTTTTTATTACTACGGCTGACAGTTCTCCAACATCAGTATGATGTTATTAACCTGAACCTACTGTGTGCTGCACTTTTCTGAACCGAGAGTAAGGCCAGTCAATGTCTACTTAAAACTAGCAGCTATAGTGTTTAAAACTAAAGGATTGTTATGTACTGTATTCTTTCAAGTATATGCTCACATTTCTTTTATTTTTTTCTTTCTTTAAGAGATAAAACAGAAGAAAACAGAACATTTTGATGTTGATGGATTGAGCACAAGAAAGTGGCACATGAAGGCGTGATGGAGAATAAGCATTTTTCTTTAAAAGGCATTAATTGCTCTTGAAGTGTTACAAACCTCTTAAAAAGTGTTATCATTTTATTTTCAGAAAAGCAGCCCAAGACGTGTTTTTTTTTTTTTGCCTGTCACTACGGGAAAAGCTGGGTTTGTTTTCCATAAATCACTTTTGATTTTCTTTATTGAAGGCCCATTACAATGCATCATTTGACTTCATTTTATGAACAATTTTTTAAAATTCTCTGATATACTTTTACTTTGTTGTCCTTGATTTTCACTTTGTGATTTCTTTCTTTCATGACTGTAGAGACAAAATAGTTTCTTTGCTGTAGTGAAACTGCTATGAATGTGAATATCTATTGGAGAAATAAATGCAATTGCAATGCAACTTCAACATAAAGTCCTTTGTGTCCTTTTGTTTTTGTTGTTTCCTAGAATCAAAAGATACCGCGTTCAAAATGTCACCTGATATTTATAACTGTTTGGTGTTTTGTGTTTCTACAGAAGCTGTTGGCCCTCAGCAGATAAAGTGCCATTAAGGCAGAAAGAGCTGGAGGACAACAGAGAGCTCTGTTCTAGTAACTGCTGCACTCTTTTGTCTGGCTGAGGTGGAAAATGCGCTTTCAACAGCCTTTAACCCTGTGGAAACTCATTTAGACTGTCGCTATTCCTTTTTCTGCCTTTCTCTTGCCTTCTCTGGTTGTCTGCTTTTTTTTGTATCTCCCATTCTTTTACACACACACACACACACACACACACACACACACACACACACANTGCACTCTTTTGTCTGGCTGAGGTGGAAAATGCGCTTTCAACAGCCTTTAACCCTGTGGAAACTCATTTAGACTGTCGCTATTCCTTTTTCTGCCTTTCTCTTGCCTTCTCTGGTTGTCTGCTTTTTTTTATATCTCCCATTCTTTTACACACACACACACAGACACACACACACACACACAGGCACACACACACACACACAGGCACACACACACACACACAGGCACACACACACACACACAGGCACACACACACACACACAGGCACACACACACACACACAGGCACACACACACACACACAGGCACACACACACACACACAGGCACACACACACACACACAGGCACACACACACACACACAGGCACACACACACACACACAGGCACACACACACACACACAGGCACACACACACACACACAGGCACACACACACACACACAGGCACACACACACACACACAGGCACACACACACACACACAGGCACACACACACACACACAGGCACACACACACACACACAGGCACACACACACACACACAGGCACACACACACACACACAGGCACACACACACACACACAGGCACACACACACACACACAGGCACACACACACACACACAGGCACACACACACACACACAGGCACACACACACACACACAGGCACACACACACACACACAGGCACACACACACACACACAGGCACACACACACACACACAGGCACACACACACACACACAGGCACACACACACACACACAGGCACACACACACACACACAGGCACACACACACACACACAGGCACACACACACACACACAGGCACACACACACACACACAGGCACACACACACACACACAGGCACACACACACACACACAGGCACACACACACACACACAGGCACACACACACACACACAGGCACACACACACACACACAGGCACACACACACACACACAGGCACACACACACACACACAGGCACACACACACACACACAGGCACACACACACACACACAGGCACACACACACACACACAGGCACACACACACACACACAGGCACACACACACACACACAGGCACACACACACACACACAGGCACACACACACACACACAGGCACACACACACACACACAGGCACACACACACACACACAGGCACACACACACACACACAGGCACACACACACACACACAGGCACACACACACACACACAGGCACACACACACACACACAGGCACACACACACACACACAGGCACACACACACACACACACACACACACATCACATCTCATAGTTTATTCCTATAGGAATGGCGCCAGCTCTCTCCCAATGCATTTCATTCACTCGCAGCCAGGGTCTTGTAATCAAAGAACTCCAGTCTTCTATGAAAATGAGGCGTCTCTGTAATGGCCTAAAAGCAGGCTTAGTAAAATCGCATAAAATGACACTGAATCTCCAAACAAATGTGAAAGAAGTAAGAGCAAAGAAAAACACTTCTATGAACTCACTGATGAACTATATTTCTATATTCAAGTTACGTATTGGAAAACCCTTCAATAAATTTTCATCAAATATATCTTAGACTTAGTCATTTAAATCCATTAAAACGTCAAGGAAACTGATCTGAAATCCTGCAGTCACACAGTATTTAGTTTGTCAAATACCTAGATTGACTATTCAGGCTTTCACGTCAAACTACTTCCACCTTATTGTTCCTTAGCTGAGCAGTGAAGAGGTGGAAGGTACCAGTGACGTAGGTTTAGTGCCTGTTCGTGCCACGGACTGTATGGTTGATGCTTAATTGATTTGAACCTGGCAACCCAACACTGCCAGTCCCTTGGTGGCTCTATAGAAATGGAGTTTGTGGGAGCCAGCATAGTGACGTCAGGATGGAGAGGGGTTGTCACCCCTCTCTGTCTGTTTGGCAGCTCCTCACCAGACCACACTCACTCTCTCAAGAAGCAACAGAGCACTCAGAGACAAAGCCTATACAGATGCTGTCACACTGGGTCACACAAAGTACTAGGTCACTTTTTGTTTTGTCTCTACAGATTGGATTTGAAATGAACAGTCACAGTGAACTTAAAATGGACTTTCGGGTTCAAAGGTTCAAATACAATCTGTATTCAAACCATATTGGATGAACAGTGTTGGACTCATGGGCCTTTTTAGACGTATATTCTTCCAAGTTTATGAAAACGCAGAAGTATGATGGTCTTAAAAAAACTCAATGCAACTGACCAAGGAGTGGAAATGGCTGCAGTCCAGGCCTGGCAAAGTGTCAGCAAGAGAAATAATAAGTGTCTTGTGACATCTATGAGCTGTAAAATCATAGACTTCAAATTACTTGCAACCAAATATTAAATGTGGCTTTTAGTTTGTTTTAACTTGTCCAATTCGCTGACCTAAAATTGAGAGAAGGATTACAGCACCTACACAGCTCCTCTGATGTGGATGATAATGCCCTTAAAGCTGACAGTCAGCCCCTTAACCCCATTGTTTCAGTTCAAATCCAATAATGTTATGGATTACAGGGCAAATGTGGAAAAATGTGTCACACTAATACTCTCTGACAGCATTCTCGTATAGAAGCTGGAAATAATTTCTACTTTTGTTTGAGACACAATCTGAGTTTTTTTTTTTATATCATCCACAGTGGAAAACACAAAACAGGGCAAGTGAGAAGAGGATGTCATCTGATGAACGTTGACCTTGTAATCACATGGTGTGCAGATTCACAAAGTAAACTACAGGGACACTCCAAAGAGGAGTGACATTTAGATTTTGACCACTAGCATAACTGGCAGCAAACCACCCTCAAACTATGTGACTGTGTGGATGTGGTGCACTGTGGAGACACATAGACTATCCATTCAGCGTGACTGACATGGCATGTGACCCTGTTCAGCAAGTTCTGTGAAACAAGTGTAGTTGGGAAGTGGAGAAAAGATGAAAGTCAAATTCTTTTATCCAGAGAAAAACAGCTGTGACTCCAGAGGGAAAGGACAATCTCACTGGTTGACCAAGCTGACTAATGAGTAACCCCCCCACCGATGGACCAATCCGAATATAAGTCTCATCTCCCCACCCCCACCACCACCAGCACAAACAACACCAAACCTCTGCTCCTGTTAGCTAGAAGGGCCTACACCAAGGACTGAAGGAGCAGGGTCTGACCGACTGCGGAGCGATCTAGTGGTTCACTATGATGCAATTACCAGAGCCGGGGGAATTAGTAAAGGTGACAGAAAGCTTTAAAAAAAAAAACATAATTTTAACGAATAAAAATCTGGAATTCAAGTCAATCATCATTTATGTGTTGTTCCAAAACTGTAAAACGATTGTGAGTGGCAACAATACATGCAGAATAAAGTCGGTGGCCAATCAAGATGCGTCTCTCCTGGCAACAGTTCAAGAAGACTTCTTACAAAATAAGCTTCTCTTTGTTTGCCTGGTTGGTCAGGCTCTCCAACAGGCTCTTGTCATCCTTATCTAGAAGACACAGTGACATGCAGAGAGATCAAGTTTTTGTTCAGCTAAAGCATGAGATCCTTTTTTTTTTTTTCTTTCTTTTTTTTTGTATAAATCCATAATTCCTCTCCCCTCTCTCCCTCCTTCTCTGAAACCTTACCAAAGATCACCAGCTTGCAGGAGCACCTGGACATCCCCAGAGGGTTCTCCAGCACCAGTGTGTATTCTCCACCGTCTTTGGCTCCACAGGTGGGGATGACCAGGGTGCACACTCCGTTGGCTGTGCTGTGCCAGAACCGAGGGGAGTCAGAGATCTTTGATCCTCCTTTATACCAGCAGGCCTACGCAGCGGAATCACCACCATTATTATTACTTGTGGGGGACAGGAGATGAAATCAAAGGCGAAGACATTTTCAGACAAATGTGTCAGGTACTAATGCGGAGATGAGTCTGTCCTACCTGTGGAGGTGGCATGCCCTGATAGGCACAGCTCATGGTGCAGTCATGTCCTCTGCGAACAGCGTGGTCCTTCAGTGGCAGCAGGAAAGTAGGCTTGACCTGACGTGGTGGTGAGGCGTACTCTTTCAAACGAAGGCTGCTGATGCACTCTTGTTAAAAATATATAAATACAGACATACACAAAGACACACATTTGTATTTGTAATAAGGAGAAGCACTTGTTTGACGTGGCTATGAGTGATATAACACGGAAATCAAATGTCGGCTCACTCACCTTTCTCCTTGGCGATGATGAGAGGTTCCTTCGAGTCCAGGGGATCGCTGTCCCCAATAGAGTTTTGCGCAATGACCCTGAAGTAGTATTTCCTCCCAGGAAGCAGTCCAGTGACAGTGTACTTGCTGCTGAACACCCGCTCGGCCACAGTGAACCAGGAGGCAGTGCTGGTGTCTCGTTTGAGGATGACATAATGTGCTCCCTCATCATTGTCAGCTAGGTCTGGAGAGTGATCCCACTGCAGGGTCACTGTGCCCGGGACCTCCTCTTCCAGGCGTAGGTTCTTTGGGGGTCGAGGAAAGTCTGATGAAAAGAGGTGAGCACAGACGGAGGAGGAAAAGGAAAATGAATGGCGATCACCATCAAGTTTCTCCATATAGGATCTGGAAGTTTCCACAAAGCCATCAAAGCAGCTACAGAAATGTTTGGCAAAATACAGTAAATAACCATAAAAGAAAGCACAGAATGAAGGAATGGAGGAATAAATGATCGATCCTTCCATCGCTTACCTGTAACCCTCACATTAACATCATAGTGAGCCTCTCCATAGTCGTTCTTCAGGTGGGCACGGTAGATACCAGAGTCAGATCGCTGAGAGGAGGAAATTAGGAACTGGGAGCTGTAATTGTTCTTGGTGATGACTTCCTTTCCTGTGGTGAGGATACCATCCTTCAACCAGGTTACCACTGGGGGGGGTGAGGCCTTTGAGGTTTGAGGGAGACACTAAGAATTTGTTTGATAGGACTAATGTGGAGAGCATGTTAGTCTTGTGGCTCAAAGCGATATTACTAAATACTGCGTAGATGATCAGAGTCTTACAGTGAAGCTGAGGTGAAGGCAAAGTGATGTTCCAGCTCGGACCACCTTCTGGTTCTTCAGCTTTCCCTGGAGATCGAACCTGGGTGCCACTGAATGGGAAGAAATAAAAAGAATAGAAAAGTAAAGAAAGAAAAGGGGCTAAAGGGTACTACAAGAGAATGCAGTCATATTACCAGGTGGAGGCATGGCCAATACACCCTCCGACAGCTCAATGGTCTCCCCCACCCCTCCTTCATTGACAGCCCGGATTCGGAAGTGGTACTTCATCCGCTCCTGAAGTCCTCCCATGGTGAAGGCGGTACCAGCAATTGGGATCTTAGTGGCTTTCATCCACTCTTTAGCATCTTCGGAGCGCACCTCTAGGACGTACCCAGAGGGATCATCTCCCTGCTCTGGAGGCGTCCACCTCAGAGAAATAGAGGAGTTTGTGGAGTCAGACACACACAGGTTCCTCACCAGGCCAGGAGCACCTACAGGGGGAAAGACAGGCTTTTTAATTGCATTGGATAGTGCAAATAATAGGAATGAAAAAAGGAAGGAGGGAAAGAAAGTGAAGGAAGCAGTGAAGGACTCACGTATTGGGTCTTTGGCCAGCACCGCGTTAGAAACGGTGCTGGGACTGCCCGCTCCGGCCCTGTTTACACTGATCACTCTGAATTCATACTCCACATCATCAACCAGCCCATCCACAGTGAATTTTGAATCTGAAAACAATAATATAGATACATATAAGTATATTGACACAAACAGAAGAGTATGTGTGGTCAATACGGAAATGAAAACCATACAGGTTTAATGATTTCATTGAACACGTATTCCACACACTGAGTACACTTTGAGTAAAAGGCATAGCAGCTGGTTATGACAACAAAACATGAAAGCTTGATAAACTGCCCCGAGTCTGACCTGTGAGCAGCTCCTTATTGACCTGCAACCACATATTGCTGCCTTTCTTCCTCCGCTCCAGAATGTAGCCCAGAACTGCGGCTCCTCCATCATGGGCTGGGGGTGTCCAACTCACTGTCATGGTATTCTTAGTTACATTAGACACTTGGGGCTGAGATGCTGTGCCCGGAGGCTCTGGGTGGGTGGATTTAAATCAGGATAAGTGTTCATAAATGCCAGAATCGAAGAACAGAAGATGTGTTTGATCATTTTAACGGCTGATGATAATTACACGGAGGTGAACGGTGAAAACAGTGATGGTGATTATTCAAGTCTCACCTGCGAACCCCTTCTCTCTCTCTCTTTTACACTTGCCTCTGGGTGATCTGAGGCGGGTGATTTTGACGATGACATTGATGATGATGATTTATAGTTTAAATTAGTCCTCACCTATGGGTTCTCCGGCGCGCACCTCCTCTGTCTCAAGAGGTTCACTCATTCCCTCGGCGTTGACAGCTCTGATGCGATACTGGTACGCCTGGCCCTCCTCCACTTTGTCATCGCTGAAGACGGTGGTGCTGCTTTCCACCTCGCCAGCCCTGTTCCAGGACTTCTTACCCGCCACGCGCCGCTCGATCACAAAGCTAGTCACCTGCTTGCCCCCATTGTCCCGGGGAGCCTTCCACTTCATCTTGATACACTTTCCTGATAGCTCAAGGAACTCTACTTTGCCTTGGGGAGGCTTTGGATGGTCTAGAGAATGTGGTACACAATGGGTTAATTACCTCAAATAAAACTGCTTTAGCTTTTCTTTCCAAATATTTGTCATCACCCACCGATCACGTTCAGATGCAGGTTGGCGACAGCAGTGCCACAGTCACTCTTCAGACGGACCATAATCGCACCGCTGTCTTCTCGCACACATCTGGGGGTGAAGTGAGAAGAGGTTTTTTAGAATTGTGTATCTGTATTTTCATTTGTTTGATCTGAACCTGCTCACCCACCTGCTGAGCACCAGGGAGGTGCTGTCAGCCGTCCTCTCCACCTTGGTTCTCTCATCCTCCGTGACCTCCACACCATCTTTGTACCAGGTGACCTTGGGAAGTGGTTTGCCTTTGAAGGGGATCTTTATGGTGGCTGTCTGACCTGCCTTCACAGTCACAGGTTGGGCCCCCAACAAGTCCAACACAGAGGAATCAATCTCTGGAGGGTCTAGGAGACAGAGTTCACATACACTTGAGTCTGTTCTATTGATTTTTTCTTTAAATAAAGTTTTCAATTTCTAGTGTGGTTTTAATTCATTTTGGATACAGGTTTGGTAGCTGGCTCTGGTGACTCCTAGTGCTAGTATCAAAAAAGACACTGTGGCAAACAGGACAACAAGCTGATCTTCAGCATAATGAAACTGACTGGATTTAAATATTTACATGGTGTTTGACAGTGACGGGAAGCTTGTTCCAGTAAGTACCTGCCCCCACTTGTGAATACACACACACACACACACACACACACACACTGACCTGCAATAGTGAGCACAGCCTCACTCTCAGCCCCCTTGGCTCTGAAGGTGTACTTGCCCTCATGGGCGTCAGTCACACCAGAGAAGATGAGCTTGTGGACGGCTCCCTGTTTGAGCACCTGAATCCCACTCAGCTCTGAAATCTGTCAAAACACAACATTGGTTTTTATTATGCGCCAACAATCAATCAATCATTGGTGGTAATGAAGTAGATCATTATGCCCTTCAGGTTGTTTATTATTTGAAAAACCCACTTACACTTTACACGCATTAAGGTATAAAAAAGGGAGGACCAAACTCATACTACTGTGATTGACAGAAGGATGCAGCATTTAAAGACTTTGACACTTTCATCCTCTCTAATATCATCTCTTACCTCCACCCCATCCTTCAGCCACACTCCATCCACCTTCTCATCATCGAGAACAACACACAGCTCTGCAGGGGAGCCTGTAGGACACTGAGCGTCTGACATACCACTCTTCACTGAGGCAAAGCGCTCTGGTAACACACAAAGAGCAGAGCTTCATCAGTCAGTAATGCTCCAATGTTAACAGTTGACTGACACTAAGAATAACTCCACAGAGACAGATATCATTACCATCCACGGTTAGATTGGCAGACGTGACATATTCGTGTGTGTCGTTGTCCTGAGTGCAGACGGCAGAGTACACTCCCTCGTCTGTCAGCTCACAGTCCTCGATGATAACCTCTGCCCTCCTCCCCTCACGCATGAAGATGTAGCGACGGCTCGCCGTGATATCACACCCATCCTTCAGCCAGCGAATGTGCACGTCCTTTGAGCTCATCTCGCACTCCAGACGGGCCTTGCCTCTCTCCTGCACACGGACGTTTTTCAGGTGGCTGGTAAACTTGATGGGAATCCCTGGATAAAGAGCGAAAAACAAGAGGCCAAGGTCACTTGAAGGTTTATTTGGCCATTGCTAGCATAATGTATTATACCTATACAGATATTATATTATAGCAAATACTATAAACACATGCAAAATTAGCTTAATCACATTTAAAATGGAAAAAACATAATTATAAGGTGGAAATATGAACAGACTTTAATTGTGAGCCCACTTACAGTGGGCCTATCAGGTTTGTTCTTCGTACTCACTCCCTCAATATATAGTAGACCTTCGTTATAGCATTATACTTAAAGAGCCAAAAAGATAGTCTACTCATAACTAACTGTAATTAACACAACCTCAGTGACTATGCTTCTGTTCCTGCAACCCCAGAGGACAGCCACATGTCCTCATGAAGATATTTACATGCCCCAGCTTGTACCTTGGGCAAGTAAGCATCTTGTTAGACAGAGCAGTAATAAATGAGCTTGTTGTGAGGAGGGATTTGGTTGGATTACTTTCAAGTCAGCACTAGGAGGGAGGATTTATTATGCTACACATACGTCTTCATTTGATAGAGGGAAGATGATGTTTTTTAGCACAGCCATGAAGGAACGAAGCCTCTAATCTCAGGGGAGGGGAAAAGAAGGCAGTGAGAAGGGGGGAAGTTTGTTTCCTTAGAAATGCTAGCTCCACTAAAACAGGAAGACAAAGGCCTTCTGGGAGAAACAAAACAAAACAAAACAAAAAAAGAACACGAAGAAAGTTTTTTTTTTTAATGATGGTAAAACCCAACGGTTGTCCGTACGTTCAATGAAAAGCGGCACAGTGGCAGTGAGGTCTCCGATGCTGATGGTGTAGTCTCCAGTGTCACTGACTTTCACATCCTTAATCTTCAAGGTATAGGTCAGACCATCCTCAGACAAGGACACATCAAACTTTTCATCTCTTTTAACTTCCTTTCCCTTTACCTGGAAATACACAGAGACTTGTGGGAAAACAATTTCCATATTACTCTTGAATCACATCTTATGCCCTGGTGTTCATATCTCCCAAGAATATTAGTCAATTCTTTTTTGTTCCTTTCATCTAAGTTACCTACTGTAGATGCCATAACTCCTAGAAACTTTCCTAGAAAGGCGTTTCTTAATGTCAGCTCCTAGATGGAATATTATATAATTCTGTAAAAATGTAATTAAGTCCATCAATGTGTTTTTTTTTAGTCTGATACAAACCTTCCAGATGAGTGGTGCGTCCGTCTTCTTGGAGAGACGGACCTCAAACACGGCAGTCTGGCGCTCTGTCACTTTTTTCGGCTTGAAGTCAGACAGGAATGTCAGAGGTTCATCTGAAAGAGAGATAAGAGAGCAAGAGAGAGCAAAAGGCTGTTCTTTTAACTTAAAGTATATAGACTAAATCATTTAAACACCTCCCTGACAATGATTCGGTGAAAAATAACCGCATTTGTATGATGGCTGGCAATCGAGTCTTTGATATGTGGGAGTTCAGAAATATATACTGTATATGACTACTAAGAAAGCGCCAAAGTCATCATTTTGTCCGTTTGTGCCCTGTAGATGAAACGAGAGATGACAAACAGGATAGGGAAGTGGCACTGAAGGGAAGCAATAACAATCACACAGACATGCAGGTTATTATGCTCCTATAAAATTTGTTCCTTTCTGTTAAACAGTCTAAGTCCAAATCACTTCAATGACAGAACACCACATGGCACAGGTGTTGAGAGATGCAAATGGCAAAAAGAAAAGAGAGAGAATAAAAAGTGACACTGAGAGTGGGTAAATCCTATCAAGGATGACATTGCCTCTCCAAGTTATGAGCAGTGGGAAGGACTTAGTCCCATTCTGCACTTGCCTTTGACGTTAAGCCTGGCTGACAGTCTCTTGTCTCCAACCTGCAGCGTATAGGTGCCCATGTCACTGAGGCTCACGCTAGAGATGCACAGCATGTGCTTGGTTCCCATCTGTTTCACTTCATATTTCCCATGAGAGTACTGGATCCGCAACAGCTCCGCGCCCTGAATCGTAAATAAAACTGCTGGATGAGGGGGAGAACTCACAAGTGGTTTATATAATGGAAGAAGCCGTATATATGCAAACTTTGACACATTCACACAACACACAGGCAGACAGAGTTTACCAGAAACCATTGCATCCTGATGTTTGGATCCTTCAGTTCCAGGATTGTGTCGAAGACAACGTTGGTGTCAGCTTTGGCAGTGATGTCCTCCAGGGGCTTCAACACACGAACCATCTGGTAAAAAAAATCAAAATGCACAAACATTAATTCACATATAATCCAACCGCAAAAACTGACAATATGACACTGCAAAACATTTTCCCATCTTCACATGAGCTGACTTGAGTGTTGTTATGCGACATACCTTTGGTGCTGTGGCTGTGTTGTGGGACATTTAACTTTTTTGTTCTCTTTTCCATTCTGCGCTATTTTAAGCTGTTTTTCATATCATATCACCTTTTTCTTCCTTATGTGATCCTGTGGTATATGAACAAGCTCTCTGTGTGACAGGCCCACCTCCACCTCCACTTTCTTCTTCATCTCCTTCAGCTTCTTAAGAATGCCTCTGAAGTCGGTGAAGCCGTACTCGGCACAGATCCTCTCGTAGTCCTTCTTGTCAGCTCCAGCCAGGATCTTTAACATCTCCTCCTCTGTAGGTGGCTTCTTCTCCTCTCTTTTCTCCACACTGCTGCACAGGGAGAAAGATCTCAGATGGGAAATAAGTGTGCATGAGTGTTTACATGCACATATAAAAGTGTGTGCCAGGCTTGTGTGCATGTATGTCTGACAGTGTATGCATATGTGTGATGACAGCTCATAAGCTTCTTCCTCTGCCCCTGCGGCAACACTGGTGCATGGTGGAGCTCTTTAAATCTCGTCCTGTAGATATTTCTGGATTCATGCAAAAAAAAAAGGGTCTGGGGGTGGATCAAAGAAAGCTCCATCACACCTTGAAAGGTTTTGGGAGTTTCATGGTTAGTCTTTGACAACAGGCCTGTGTTCCTACCGTTTCTTCAGCATCTTTTTGAAGTCCAACGCTGGATCTAGAAACAAATATAGAGAAACTTTCACCTGAGCCGCTGGGTGAAAACAGACCATAAACTAAATAACTATCAAGACTAGAAAGATTCACACAATGTATCGTATGAAATGGCTAAACTCACTCTCTGTAACGATGAGAGATATGGAGTAAGTGGCCTCTCCGTGCTTATTGGAAGCAATGCACTTGTAGACGTCAGCATCCTCCAAGGCCAAGTTTTTGATCTGAAGTGGAGGAAATGCATTACAGGCTACACGAGAGGAAATACAATGGCTTGCTTGATGCCTGCTATAAGACGAATCTAAAACTGTCATACTGTCATTCCACTGTCTGGTCACTTTAAATCCCAGTGCAGTTCTTACTTTAAGCAAAAGGAGGCAGTGTCAAGCTAGAAATACACAGTAAACATGTAGCACTGCAACTTAACAGTCATCCCTCACCAGAGAAACAGATGGCAAGGGGAGATGCATATGTCAGCACCCACAAGTTAATTGCTTTATAATAGCTATTTAAGCTTCACTTAAGCTCTCCGGCTGGTATAGAGAAAGCGCTAAATCCACTCCAGAGTGGTTATAGATAAAAGGATCAGGGAGTTTTTTTGTTTTTTTTTTTGCTTTCTACCTACTTTTCCTCATGATGCATGGCATGTTGTCTGAGTAGACAGCACCAAGAAGCCACAGCCCCTCGGCTTAGTGATAGCCTGTGCAGAGCCGCTCTACTCTGCAAGAGTATCTTATGGTCACATTTCCCTTTTGAGAGCTATGCATTTTGATGATATAATGTGTCTTGGGAAATACATTTGGATTTAAATACAAGTGGATGCATCGAAAGGGATGCTTGCAGATACCGGTGCTCCAATCGCACACCAAGAATAATGGCATCTGTGCATAGATATGATGGATTTTTCAATAAAGATAAGACAAGTGAAACAACAAGAAAAAAAAACAGGGTGTACTGATACAGGCAAAGCTACATATATTTATAGTGTTATTTGACTGAAGTAATACAAACACAGAGTTGATTCAATTTCCAAATAATGGAAATAATAATAAAATAGTAGCCTGAGAATTAGCCATTGTGCAGTTATATCAAACAACACAATGAAGGCAAATAAAATGGTTTGACCTTCTGATATATCTCACAGAAAATCAAAGAGACTTGATAACACAAACCCTCATTTTAGTACCAGGACCATTGTTTTCTTTAATCACAGGCAAAAGCAAAAACTGTCAGTTACTTTGACGAGCGAGGAACACTATGAGCTCTGTAGTTATATGGTCAAACCTTGAGTATATGCTGATTGTTGATGTTGTCATGGAAAGATTTAGTAGCATCAGACATTGGGCACCCGCTGGCTCGTTCCCAGGTAACACTGGGTTGGGGACTCCCCATCACCTTGGCCTTGAACACCGCATTGTCACCTATGGATGACAATAGAGGCAGATCAGGTTAATGCACATTATCATCTTCAGAATTATTAGCAGAATACCAAGTGTCTACTAAGAAATAAGATATGGTTTTTAAAGCACAGTGGAGCAATGACAATGAATGTTTAATGTACATCAGACTCTCTGGCTCTCTCGCCTCTTCCTGTTTTCCTTCTGAGGCCAGCCAGCCAAGGTCAGCACATGAATGCTAATGCTATGGCTGCTCTGCAGTGTTCTGCATTTTGTGACAGGCTATCTTATACAAGCCTGTTAATCTATAAGGTATAGGTATAGTCAGGGTGAATAGGGTTAGGCTTGCATCTTTGTGCTGTGTGTGTCTTTGTTAGGACTTTCATCAGAGTGGATTTACAGTACCTTCACCCAGACAGACAAATTGTTAAAGTTTACACATCGTGGCAAACTTTTACTTCCCAGTGGAGTTCAGTTTCTATCATCTGGAGTTTCTAGGCAAACTATGGGCAGGGATCTAAAATTAGCTTGCACGTAGCTCTCTTTTAGTCTCAAGGGCTCACAGTTGTTTGTAATGCAATGTGAAGAGAGACATTAGGGGACGCAAAGGGGGTTTCTTGAATTTTCAAGGTGCTGTGAGAGGAAAGTGAGCATTTCACCTCACCCTCTTGGGCAGTGATGGGGCGCAGCTTCTCCTCGAAATCTGGGACAGACTCTCCCTTGGGGATCTGGGGGGATTTCTGTACCTGGCTGAAGGACTCCACCACAGCTGAGGTCTTACGCTGAGCCCCAGCGTGCTCTGAGGGTGTATAAAGGACATTCACATCATAAGCATGTGCCAACAGGCAATTTACACTACAGCAGCCTTGCATGCAAATCTGATGTTATGGTTTTTGTTGCACTATAGAACTAAATAATGTAGTTAATTAGCTTTATTATTGATCTGCAAAAATTTAGTCTACAGTGCTCTCTGAGGTTTAAGGAGAAAAACCACATTTACACAATGTGCCAGGTAAGACATGTCACTTAAAGCTACTCTTTTAATTATGTCCACAATTATGTTACTCCTGTTCACTGTAATGATAACTCTAATCTTCTCATAATTAAAAATGCTACATTACAAAGCATGGCAGATGGGGGGATGATGATCTTGTTGAATAATTCATACCTTCCATGGTCCTTGACAAGCCCTGGGACACTTTACGCAGCTTGGTGGAGCTTGTGGAGGAGCTAAAGGTGGAAGAGCTGGAGAAGGAGGATGAGGAGGACATCTGCATCTCTGACATCTGCCTCATCTGCTGTTCCATCTGCTCCATTCTGCCCCCAGTGGCCTGGAGGAGCTCTGATGCCATGATGGTGACGTTGATGAGGTGAAGGTGGTGCCGATCTGTGCTTGGCTGTTGATAGACACAGATAGAGATGTGAAAGGATAGTTTTACAAGTGGCAGACAATACTTATTTGACTCCTAATTCTGCTGGGTATTGTAGTGATTGACAGGTTTTAGTCCTGACATATTGCCTCCTGTCGATGAGAGGCACCAGAGGGACAGAGGACAATCCTAGCCATCCTGTCTAAATTCACACACCGATACAGCTAATATCCTACAGTGTTCTCAATTCAATATATTCAAATATGATGTTCAGACGTCAGCAGACTTGGGCTTGTGTTTGTGTCCTTGCACGTGCGTGAGTGTATGCGTGCGTGTGACGTACACACCTTTTCGCTCTGTCTCAGTGGTAATTAGGTTTGTGTAGCAAGAGCACGCAGAAAAAATGATTGATAGTCATCTCCCTTCCTCTGCTCGTCCCCTGCCCTCTCCTTGCTCTATCATCCTCGTTTCAAAAGTGACTACAATAGTCCTTTGCCTTTGCCAGTCTCATACAAAGATCCAATTAAAAAGGTAATCCACACACCTGCTGTGTGAGATAAAGCACTGTGTTTGTACCACTGATGAACTGTGCTCTTCCTCTCTTACTTTGAATTTGGATTTGCTCTCTCATGGCCAAGCCCCATTTCTTTTTCTCTGCATGTGTGCAAGCTGTGGATTGGAGTATATCTTCACCTGCACATAACAAATACACATTTCCAGTGGCTGTAGGAAGAAGATTGGACATGTCGTCTTTATTTACAAGCCCATATAAAACACAGAATTGTTTTTTTTGCAATGACAGCCTAGTTTTAGCATGGAAATGTCACTTTATAAGCCAAAGGAACAATTAATTACAAGATTAGACTCTAAAAAAAACATGTAAATCCAATAAGTATTTATGTGAATTTTGCTTCCTGCAGCAAATACACTACATGTTGAGGTTGGTGAACTAATTAGCTCTGTAAGCTTTGATACTTAGCAAAGGAAGCTGTTTTTTAGCGACCACAGCAAACTCTTTGATGGTATAACTCTACAGTCTAAAGGAGTAGCGAGTGACTTGAAGCTACAAAGTGCTGAACAGGTTGCTGTCTCACTGCAAGTGGAACACAAGAACATGTTCTTTTCTCTCCCTACCTCTCTGCCTCTTTGTTCAGTGTCCTTGATCTCTCTCTCTCTCTCTCTCTCTCTCACTCTCACAGCATCCAGCATGGCAAATTGCAAAGGGATTTTTTTTTTTTACTCCCCTCTTGGCTCTATTATTTCAGAAAAACCTAGACACACAGCCAACCAAACTTACTTGTTACAGCAAAGCCTTTACTTTCTCACAGATTTAGTCTGCGCCCCAGGTTTCTGGTTCAACTGCTTCCAGCCCAAATGTCTCCTCTTATGATGTTCTTAATCCACACGTTGCCTCCTTCTCTGCAGGACCCTGCCAGCTCAGTCTCCCCTGTTTTCTTGGATCCTTTTTGGTGGATGAGCCAAGGCTGGGGCATTCAGCTTAAACACCTGCTGTGTCTTGTCTCTGGACAAATAAGGCTCTGATATGTTCTGGGGTGGCTGGGCCTGTACTGGGCTGGATGAATACATCATGCTAATATTTCCCACAGGTCGGTTAAGTTTGAAGGTCCATAGTGGGTCATCTCAGGCAAGTATTTTTGAATGTTAACATTCTCCAAAGAGCATGTGTTGATGGAGAGTTTCTAGCAGGCGCTGCCTCTGAGGCACATCTTGTCTGTATCTCTGTCAGAGGTCTTACTGCATAATTTAAAAAAGAAGATGCAGATATGCAACACCGCTTATGCATTTTGACAAAAACATTAAACAACAATACATATGTTGTACATTATCATTCTGTGCTGGTGTGTGACCTTGTGTGTACGTCTTGGCTTCAGTGCCCTTCATGATGCTTTGGGGCTCATACAATCTGTTGTGAGCTTGGCTGGGGTGACCCCAATGATTAAGACTTGGACCCCCTCAAAAGAGGTTAAAAGCAACAGTTCGAGTGGGGTTGGGTGGATTTGAAACATTTATCCTACTTACCTGTAATTATAAATATTATTATATATTTCCCACATTCATATTCGTACCTGGAAGAATCTTGTAATACGATTTCAGACACCCCTAAAGTGGACCGTACCATTTCTTAAACTTGAACACCTCCCCCAACAATGGCTCCCAATTTCAAGTCTTTGGTCTCCGTGCGTCGCGCAGACACTGCACGTAAATGTAGCAATAGCTAACTATCTAGCTTGCTCAGCTTCAGAGTTTCTGAATTATATTGTGTCAAGTATCAACAGATGAACCATAACGTTACCTAGTTTCTAACTTTAGCCTCAAGTTACACTAGCTACAAGTTAAGTAACTAATGCTAGCTAGCTGGTTCGACGGCCTTTCGTTCATTGTTGGCCTGGCATTTTGTTACTAAAATAAAATGTCATATTACCTCATTTGACCAAACCCATTGGTCATTTCACTGGCACTCAGTCATGAGCAGTGAGACAATGGATAATAAGTTGTTATAGACATACGATTTAACATCATTATTCATTAGGCTTTGTTTTCAATTCAGGAGTTTTACCTGGTTGGATAATTGAACAATATCCAAATTTGTGTTGAAGGCTAAGCAATTGTATTAGCAGTGGTGGAAAGTAATTAAGTACATTTACAGTACAGTTTTGAGGTTAGGGTTACTTGTACTTTAGCTTTTCCATTTTATGCTATTACTACCTCTCCACTACATTTCAGAGGGAAATATTGTACCTTCTACTCCTCTACATTTATTTGACAGCTTCAGTTAAACAAGAAAGATACTGTAAGGACTTCTGTTCGCTGAAGCACAAGCCTACACGGTAAGTTTAAGTATTCTTAGTTTAAAAGACAAACTACTGGGCAAAGGAAGACTATTAGCTTTCAAGTCCACTTAGTTACTGTAGCCTATATAATCATAAACAGCCTATGACAATGCAGCTGCAATGTGATGACAAAGTACTTCTCTGATCTATTTCTCAGACCCTTCCAAGCAGGGTAAACACAGCTAATTTCATATTGTCAGTAAGTTAGGATCCACTATGATGCTGCAACAAAAACCTTCCTGGTGGAGAACATTCTTGACATGCTAGCAAATTAGCTGTTAGTAGTCTTAATGTATAGACTAGTATTCTGCTTCTCATTTGCTGCCATACTGAAAATGGATTGCTTTGAATTTAAAAGCTAAAACTGCGTCTCCTGATGTCTTCAATGCAGAAAGGGACCATGGCACTGTGTCATTTGTGGCCAAGAGAGAAGATGGCAAGCCTCAAAAGACAGTCTGCAAAATCCTAACAGGGAGAAAAAGTTCTTTCTTTGCTCCCCAACGGCTGAGCACAAAACAGTTTGACATGACTGTAAAACACAATGAAGCTTGGACAAGCTACAAACTGGTATGTTTTATTTGTCATTTCATTTATTAAGGCTTATTCTTTTTGAGATGGTATTTTTCTTGGTTATTTTGCTTATTTTTGATTTATATTGATAACCAAGGTCATCTAATATTCAAGCAAACACCTAACTGGTTTAAAAAAGAAAATTAAATGTAGTACAGATTTTTTTTTTTACCACCTCTGCACAATGAATGGAGTCGCTGGAGTAGCAACAAATGCTTTGTGTAAGTGTTGACATGTTTTTTTGTCAGATAAAATTTTCTATCCTTGTATTCTCCAGGCAACTTTGCATTTAACACTTACTCATGTCAGGGGTTGTTTTGCAGAGTCCACACACAGGTCACGGTGAATCCTCGCTTGCCAGACATATTGTCAGTTTGTCTTGTTCAAGTTAGACTTTTTCAAATAATCTCATCAAATTTGTTTTTGAGCTTTATTTTTTAGTTTAGGAAAATGAATTGAAGAGCAAGGAAATAATTGCCAATTAATAAATAAGTCACTCTGACTGGAGAACTGTAAATTAGATAAGTTCCTCCTGCTCATATTTGGAAATAAGATTAATTCAACATTATTCTCTGCCTCAAAAACAATGTTCTCTGGGAGGAGCAGTCACAGGGAAAATACTTCAAACACCTGAGTACAGTACCTGTTGACTGATTAGCTGACCCTCACTTTTATGATCTCACACAACATCAGAATTTAAATTTGGGGAATATTTCTTGTTTGATGGGCTTGAAACAAGCTCATTATTGGAGCTGGGTAATGCATGAATGTTTTATTACGAGTCCAGACTACCTGTCATGGATATGCTCTTTGAGGTGACAGCAGGAGCACTTAAGTGTGATTGTTTGGTTTGAGAGAGAGGGGGATAAGGAGAAAGAAGGGGAGGTAGACATAGAGAGCCCCATTGGCATTACTTCTCTCTAATCCTCTTTGCGCTACACCTGGCTGGCATACTAATGATGGAGAAATGACCTAGATTTCTCTCTTAGCACATTTATACTCGCAGCACAAAACATAATGAATGAGTTGGTTGAATTTTATTTTGACGCAACTGCTGTTTTTTTTTTGTTGTTTTTTTTTCTGTCAGCACTGAATCAGAACGAGGCCAAACATGGATATTCACTTGATGACAGACAGACACTAACGCTACAATAGTCACTTTGGTCTCAGTTGTTTGAGCTTCTTCAGTTGCTTCACGATGAATGCAATCTCAGCTTTAAGAAAGAGGCCAGAGGATTGTCAACAAAAATCATTCATGTGATGTCTTTTGATACTGCACACTTCCTGGTGACAGTATACTAAGAACTTTAAAAGTAAGAAAACTGAAGTTGTTTCACATGGTTAAACCTGATATAACACTGGCAGCAGAGCTATTTTTACTGTTGCTGTGTTTGGGCACTTCACCTGTTCACATGGGAATGTAGCTTACTGTGTAATTCACTACAGCAAAGCACAGCACCAGTGACTCTAGATCTTTGCGGCATGATCATCACCACATCTCCAGTAACTGCAGAT